CTAAGAAAGAATTTATTCAGCACCAGTTCAAAATCCTAAAATACACTTTCGTCGTAAATTTCACGGCAGAAACGCAGGAATTCGATGAATAAAAGTCGCATTAAATCTCCTTGTGTCTAGGTAGAAAGAGTCTCATTGACTTCAGCTTTTCGGTGGAAGAAACACCGATTTACACACGCCATTACAGAAAACAAACAAGCAGACTGACAACTCCAAAACACGTATTTGCATTCACTTACAATTTGACTTTCCGTGACATTTTAAAACGGAACAGAGGTAAATCTTCGAAGATTAATCGTTGTTGGAAATAAAAAATACTTTCCGTAAGATCTCTGTTTTTCTCTTTACGAGAAAATCGTCGCATGATCAGTTAACTGGTGTGTGTTTGTCATACCAGTACTGCTGTTTCTTCAAGAGCGTATGCTTCTTTACTCTTCAATTGACAAGTGTCACATCGTGACAGTTACTTTTCAAAAAAATATTTGAAAATTTGTTCGTAAACCTTTTAAATACCTTTACAAATAAAAATGTTTCGGCGAAAGCTTTCTCTTTAATTTGAATAACATTTGTTTTCTTCATAACTCACTCGCTATCAAATTGTTAAGTTCAAGGAGGATTTTTCCGTAATTAAACTCGTAATTGTAGCCCTAAATCATTCGGATGCTTCAAATCAAGAGAAATTTCCTGTCTTGCTTCCTTCCTCCTCTCACCCACACGCTCATTGTCCTCTTGCCTATTTATTGATTTAATTAGTGGGATCTTGATTGAATAAGTAGTAAGACATCGAGATACTTGAATCATTTTTGAGGCACTGTTTTTGTTTAAAAGCGAGAAGACAAGTTATTATCTTCAATCACTCAATGAGTCAATCAATCAATCGTTTATTCAACCCTATTGCAGTAACAACTGAATTGCAGGGGGCGGTCGCGACATACATTTTGAAATTTGACAGTTACAAAATCATTAAATCTTTGCATTTGCCAGTAGAGGCCTAATACGATTGTGAGCCTGAGCGTAAATTATAACCGTGGCAATAAACCAGCGGAACCCGAAAGAGACTACTAAGCGTTCCTGACAGATGACAGGAATTGGCAAAATTCCCGCACGCTTGTTGCCGCCTATCGCTAAGAAGTTCAAGGTCAGCAAGATGTACTGCGTCGCTATAAGAAAGATCAGGGAAGACAATATAGAGAGCTTTCCTCTGGACTAGCTCTAAAAGGTTACTTAAGTAGGCTGGAAGTGCCGCCCATACAGGGGACGCATATTCGAGCACAGAGCGAATCGTGCTGCAATATGCAGATACTAATTGGGAAGGTGAAATTCCACTTTTCTTAAGAATCCTCAACCCATAAAGGCGTTTGGAAGCTAGCTTTATCGTAAATGTACTCAAAATGTGCGCTCATGAAAGGTCATCAGAAACTATGGCCTCCAGCAGTTTTTACTGGGATACCCTTTCGATTAGGGCCCCCCCCCCCCATTAGTAGAGGGTTGGAACAAGTTGATTTATACTGGAGAAGGTCAACAACCATCTCTTTACACTTCTTAGGGTTTAGTTTCATATAGCGCTCTAGGGAGTGCTTATTTACATTAGATGCGATGATGGGCAGATAACTATTAGAGTTCCTGGGAATACGTTCCAAGATCGTAAGGTCATCAACGTACTTAAGACGAGTACGTATACCATTCACTGGCCAGCCTACTCAAAAGTATCGCGAAGAGAAGGAGAGCCAAGCGCGTACCTTGTGGGATGTCACCATGAGGCGAGATGGCCGAGAACAGTTGACCATTAATCCTAACACGTTGTAGCCGGCCAACCAAAATTGCGCCAACCCAACGGACAATGGCTTCATGAACACACCAAGCACCTCCAACTCATGCAGCAAAGCCCTGTGGTCGACGAGATCAAACCTCTTACTAAAAACAGTAAACAGGATGCCGGCGTACATGCCCTCCCTGTCGAGTGATTCGAGGATGACGTGCATGAAGTACACCAGAGCGTGAGTAGTAGATTTACGAGCAAAGGCAAATTACTTATCGTCAAGCTGATCTTGAACTTGGGAGATCTTAGCGAGCTGTAAAGTTAGGGAAATAGGGCGCTAATCCTCCTCAACCACCTTGGGAGGGCTGCATTTAGGAACAGGGCACACAACTGACTACTTTAGTTGAGACGGGATAAACCCTTGAATAATCGAGAAATTATAAATGTCACAGACAACCGGAGCCAGCTCGATAGCGAATTCAGACCATACCCTGTTGGGGGTAGGGTCAGGGCCGGGTGACTTATTAGCCTTAACCCGCCTAAAGGTGTGATATGCTGTATGTTCATCAATTAAGAACTCAGGAGGGACATCGTAAACCATGCCAGGACTAGGAGGGTCCAAGGGAGAGGTCCAGAGTGAGGTTGCCGAGGAACARCATGATTGAAACGCTCGGCGAGCAGAACCTCATTTGACATCCGTTTGTCTAACATTTGTAGATGCCAAGGGGAGGAACTCCCCCTTTGCCACTAAATTTATTGATTTCGCTCCACCAACGTTTAACATTCGAATATCTTAAGGCAGCTACTTTGCAGGTGTAAAAAGTCTTCTCGGCGATAGAACAATTAATCTGCACAGCATTCCTATAAGCTTTGTAAACCTCAGAATCCTTACTGTTGGTATGGAGAGCCTTCTGGCGATTGCGGATTAGAGACTTGATTTTGGTGCTAATCCATGGTTTATCAGACGAGCACACTTTTATCTTACGGAAGGGTAGGTATGTATCTACAGCCGCAGACACGGATGTTGGTGAATACAGTGAGTTTGTCAATGACAAGTGACTCATCATAAACAGACTACCAATTTTGCTGGGTTATTCAGCTGCCAAACTCGCGCATTCTGCTCTACCTCAGGTCACGTCGCCATATAGTAGAGGTGATGTTTTTAACCAATGCAGAACCACTGCAAGGGGTGATAGAAATCACGTAATGATCGCTAGAGCCAAGCTTAGTTAACTGCTTAGGAGGGAAAAATAGACTGGGCTTATTTGTCAAGCACCAGTCCAAAATACCAGAGTCCCTGGTTAAGACCCTAAATATCTGGGAGAGGCCAGTCAAGCGTTTGGTGTCGGTGGCGGACAGACCAGTGCTAGTAGAATTGAAATTCCCCGTTATCACAACCAGACCCTCTGGGTGTTAGCATAGGAGGGAATCGATGTTAGACTGCAGACGTTGTAACAAAAGTCGGTTGTCGTCCGTTCCGCAACTGGTTGGATGGTAAACAACGGCGAAGAGGACAATTGATACTAGATGAGGGAACTAGCGAGGCCTTAAGCTCAACCACTGACTCAATGCTAGGGAGTTTACAAGCATGCAGGCGACGACAAGGCATGGATGAATGGACATAGATGCACACCCCACCTGCATGGGTTGGCCGGTCACGTCTAATGCAGGAGAAATACGTAAGTCGGGTGTCGCCGAACTCAGCCACGTTTCAGTAACCGAAACTATATTAGGTTGATTAATGCTTATCACAGCTTGTAGCTCGTTCAGTTTAGGAACAATAGACCGAACATCGGCCTATATGATGTTAGTGAGAAATTCGAGCGAATTAGGACGGGAAACATCCGCAGTTGGTATTCCTGAGCTTTCACCAAGCCAAGGAACACCACGACGGTGTTTCAGTTTCCCAGCGCGATTGCCACGATAACGTTTCCTAATGCCAAGTTCACCCAAATCACGCCACAAATCAACTGGAATACGATGTTTAGGAGCAAGCTTCCCAGTTGACCGAAGCTCAGCACTGGTGCATGTACGTACGATCTGAGATTCACGTGGTCGATGTTTGACTTCGATGAACCGAGATGGCGGTTTTGCTCACGAGTCGGAACAGATCTCAAGGCCACTAATAGAGCCATAACTGGTCTGAACCAGTGTAATAGTAGACTACAAGCAGAAGGGAGATATTAGAGATAACTGCTGGCCACATACTAATGCCACTGATGCAAAAGGACGGAGAAACAAACGTTAACACAGAGAGCACGAAAAAACCCAATCGGCAGCCATTAGGCGCCGCATGACGATGACTATCTTTACCAGTAGTCGCAAAAACTTACCCAATTTTTCCTGTCGGCGTGCTTCGAGTCTTCTGTTGAACCGATGCTGAAAAATTATTATTATTACCGCGATATCCCTAAAGAAACTGATGGCAAATGGAAAGAAGACCACAGAAAGAGTGTCCAGGAATGCGTGCAAGATTATCTTCTGGAATATTTGGGAAAGCCATTGCATCAGTTATTTAGGTAATGATAGAAACTGTTGCACGCTTTCTCTAGCCTTACCATACACTATAATTAACCACAATCATGCGACAAGAACACGCCTACTCAATATTAAGAGCACTTAATCATGCTGGACAGTGTCCTCGACGAGGATCTTTCGGTTTTAAACTCCCAGACAGAATAATTAAAATACTATGCATAGTTCAACAGGTACAAATATTGACATCCGTCACTGTGTTCCAAGCAAGGTGTCCAGTGGTTGCGCCTCTCTTCCACTTTGTTACTTTAATATCGATGGCAAAGAGAACAAATCCTAGCCAACAGTTTCAAAACTAGCCACTGACGAGCCGCTCCATGGATCCTCGTCTTTTTAAGTAGCTTAACTACCAGTTGGTCTCATTTTTAAGGTCACGAATTTATTTGCACCAAAGACTGTTCCCATATTCCAAAATACTGGATATAAAGCAACCGCCCCTGCAAGTCCAGTTGACGTCCAACCCAACTTTAATCCAGCCAGTACAGTGCAGAGTTACTAAAACAGCGACGCTGGTTGCACAAAAAGAGCACAATTTAAAATTCCATTTTCTACCTTAATGCCAAAGTACAAAGAATGGAGCGTCAATGCCCATGAGGCTATGCCTGGGCATTATTTGCAGGTTGAACTATTGAACTCATAGGACGGTCACCTTGTTATCTGTCAAATGAATTTTCAACCATAGCTACTATTCATGATGGACAGACGAGATATAGAGATAGTTTAAATATTCCATCTAGTAGAATCAATGCTGGCCAACGCGTCTTTCATTATCGTGGCCTAAAAGTATGGAATAATTTAAATAAAGATTTAAGGCAAATCACGAGTACTAAGGTCTTTAAGAGACGTTTAATTAATTAATTGATTTGTAACATGAGCGATCTTTGATGATAATTGTTGTTTTCATATAGTAATTAAGTAATATGTAAGTAATATGAAAGTATATAGTTATTAAGTTATTTATTTAGCTTTTACTATTTTTAATATTGATGCTGAAAAGCCCTTTTCAGGGATGCTCAATAAAGTGTAGGTATGTATGTATGATCCTCGTGAATATGAGATACCCGACGTTAACAATATTCCTGGAAAGGCAGCCAAGGATCAAGCCATTATCAGTTTATAAATAATGATACATAACACCAGGATCGTAATGTCTCACACACTCAGACTGATAACTGGAGCCTCTTGGCCCTAGGTCTGTGCTTGTCACCACATTCTAATGCGTTGTAACCTTTTTGTAACGTGTCTCATTTGTGGCCTATTTTCTACCAATCTCTTTTGTGCGCATTGTCAATCAGTCCTTGAAGTAAACGCTATGATAAGAACTGATCCAAAGCATGGCTAGAGCTGAGACGAACTAAACTCGTCCATTGAGTAATCAAGTCTTGACAATGGCCAAATACAAAGCACCTAAAAGTAGAAACCGGAAGTGACGCTTAGCAGGTTTTCGAATAATAATAGTTGCATAAAGACTACAAAATAATAGGATAAAACCACAAAATTCCAAATATGCGTAACGAAGTGCACAACAAGACTAATCCAAAAAACGAAATCCAAGTTCAAAGTACAAATCTAATAACTGAAATCCGAGCATAAAAAGGGGTCACTACTGAATATTGCGCCACCACCTGGATGCTTTATGCCAATGGAAATAAGTATCTAATAACCAATAATTCGGAGCTAAACTTTGTAAAAATTTCTCGTGTATGAGACCGTACAGGTAACGCGAATCAGTCTGTTGTGACTTATCGCATAAAAAGTTAATCCTGTCTCCGAAGATTTATGCCTATTTCTACGTTGCTTCTATCCAATAAAAATTTTGAGTTCATCAAACTGACCAAGCAAAAGGAGATTGAGAACAACATGCCTCTAATTTGGTAATATGCCAAGAGGAGAAACCACCAGTCGCGGGTCCCTGACGTTTCTCTCAGATGGTCTCTAAGAGAGAAAGGAGAAGACTGTGTCCCTAATCCGCCTCTCGGTTGGCTCAATTGGTTGAGCGCCGGACTGTTGTGCGGGAGGTCGAGGGTTCAAGCCCCGGCCGGACCAACACTCAAGGTCTTAAAATAACTGAGGAGAATGTGCTACCTTTCTATAATATCAAGAAATGGATAGACATTCTAGTCTTCTCGGATAAGGACGAATAAACCGCAGGTCCCGTCTCCTGCATCTATTAATTAGTTAATTTGGTTAGGCAGGGGACGTTAAAGAACCCACTTACGAGATTACTGTGATGTGGTCTGGCCTGTTTACTGGGAATTGGGAGGAGGGAGCATCTGTTAGATTCGCCTTTATTTGATTGTAAGCTGCTTAGCAGTCTGGAAAAGTCCCCCGCACAGTGTTGTAAAGCGCGATGAGCTCAGGATATGAGCGCTATATAAATAAAAGTTACTATTATTATTACTATTTATTATTAATCCATTTAGAGGAGGACTGCGCAGGCAGAACCTAGGACTCTAAACCTGAGCTGGAAGCGGCCTACTATGCTTGCGGTGGACCATATTGGGCTGCAGGATGAATCCAATTGATGCCTAATGCGTCACGTGCGATGACTAGTTTTCTATATTCCAGATTGCAAATAACTAACCTGGGAAATAACTTATCTGCATCAGGTCTGCCCCCTTGAACCTATCATAGCGCATTATAACCACGTCGGAGCTCGTCTCATTTCTCGCATCTTTTCTGCGTGGATAGCGATTTAAATAAATTTGTTTCCAGTATTTCTCCGAACTCAAATTAGGCTTAGCCGGATCTAAGTTCCGCCTGGCAATTATTAACTGTAAGACAAGACCTCAGTTCGCGCCCACAGCACGTTCAAGGTGTTGCGGATGAGGTTTCTGTAATTACTTTTTGGCACTTTTCGTCGTCAAAATTGCATGGTTTGGGTAACCCAAAACCTTTAAGCCGTCCTTTCTTGTCATAACACGAATGTTTTCCAGAAAGGGACACGCGGTAATGTCGGCGTCACTCGCGTGCAGGCATTTTCCAGGTTAAACCCACGCGTGGAATGAAGTCATATTTACTTTAGCGTTTTTTTTTAATGCGCACAAAGTAAGCCAAAGAAATTTTACAGTTAAACTTAAAGATCGGAATATTTTGTGCTGAAGATGATAAATGATCGACGCTGAACTAAATTATACGTTGAAGAAAAGACAAGTCAACATAACATATAAAAGGGAATTTGGAAAAATACGAAGTTGCGGAAACCCAGAAAATCTTCGATTTTGAAGGGAGGATTTATTTTTCGGAGAAACGTTTTGTTGGTTACATACTCGAGAGAAGACAACGTGAAGCGAAATTATAACTTGTTTTAATCTAAATAGAGGTATTTTACACTGTAAACACTCGTAGAACGTGCTTACCAATAACAAGAACGTTTGAAATTACTAAATATACACTGATTTGGTCGTTGACATACTGGTGAGAAGAAAATAAAAGCGCATTTACTACGCACTAAAAGTTAAATGGGAGAAATACTCATTTTTTAAAGAAGCCAGCCGAGAGAAAATAAATTAGAAGATAACCATATATATAACTGAAAATGTACCTATATTTAATATGTTCAGAGTGCCTCTGATAGTTCCTTTAAGGAGGGGCGTTCTGCAGGCTCTTCGCAAAGAGCAGTTCTGGCCACCTTTAAAGATTTCGCTGTCGCTGTTGGGAGCAAATCCAACACTGCCAAAACTATTTTCCCTAAAGAAAATATGTCCGATTGGGCACTCTGCCTGCCACTTCCGTTTACAATTTCGGGGGCAATGTGAGGATACTTTTCTCGATATCTCATCTGTTGGTTGATGGACATGGACATAGCCGGCTTGGGATCTGACGAGAAGCGAGCTTTCCCAAAATCGATAACAACAGGATTCCACTCCTCTCCTCGTTGCTCCATTACCACGTTATTGCTCTTCACGTCTTTGTGAAGAATAGCACACGAATGAACGTGGTTCAATGCCTCAATAAGATTTTTTAAAATTCCAAGCCAAGTAGGCTTTTCCAGTTTTTCTTTCTTAATGGCTTTGTACAGAGTGAGGCCTTTGTTTTGAACACCGTGGAATTTCGTAACAAGTCGATAGGGCTCGCTCTTGGTTACGATGCCAAAGAGTAGAGGGACACCACGGTGATCTTCCAGGTGTTTGATCATCGTCGCTTCGTGGCATACTTCGCTTCTTAGATCGACGTTCTTTCTCTTGTTAAATTCCTTGACAGCTACTACCACATCCCTGTAATAGGCTAAGTAGCAACTGCCAAATGTCCCAGCGCCAAGAAACTTCGTCGTCCTCACGACTAGCGATGGGTCTATCTCTCTGAGCTTTCGCCGCTCCTTATCTTCGTTGAGCTTCTTTTCCGCCGCTAACTTTTTCATCGCTTTCTTTGCGGCTTTTTTTTTGCCTCCACCTCTTTCGTGCTTCCTTTCTGATCTTTTTCAACTTATCTTTGTCCTTCACTGCCTCGCGTTTGTTCCTGGCCATTGCACAACACTTTTACCAGGTACACAATCAAGAGAAGTAATCGACAGAAAAGGAGACTGAAATGCCAATTTTCGAAGGCGTCGCAGGTGATCACACTAGCGCAGATATCAGAGCGCTATTGATGAAATCCTAGAAATGTTGCGTAAGTCGAAAAACCTCCGGAAGACGAGGTGTGAAAGACCTCCTTACAATGAAAAACGATCTATTGTGCTCTTTGAGTACAGTAGCAGTTTCAACGCTTGTCCATATTCAGCGCTTATCTCAAACATGGCATCTCTAGCTATTTACAAGACACGCTGCGACATATGCTCATCGATGTTCAACACAACAACTGCGCTACTGAGACATAGAGAATCGAAACATCGCATTGCTGCGCTCAAGGCAGAGTGGGCTACATTTGTCAAGTTGTACAATGGACAACAGATCGTACAGCCTCCCGCAAGAATAAGGACAAGGTCTATCAATTACAAACAATGGATAAGTGGCATTGTAGAAAGTCTTAATTCGTCCCTACATCCAAAAGCCGCTGGTATGTAATTTTTCTCTTTTCCGCTCTTATCACGCGCAAATAGCTGTCAAAATNCTGATTTTCATTGCTATCAGATGACCCCGCGTTAACTCGCACGCAATCGCTTATCTCTCGTGGATTCGTGGGCGCTAAGTCTATGTAATTACATCGTGGTGTGATTGATGTGATGACATCCACCCAACACCTTCTTCCCCAAACCTCGGCATCAGTTTACGATGCCTGCTGTGAATTTTTTTCTTGAGCAAAGCTCGTCATGTAGCGTGATCTATTGCAGGTAAAAAAAAAAGTTAGTCCGAAAGGATTACTTAAATCTAAGCTAACGTTGCTTGTGTGAAGCAATTCGCAAAGGACCATGGGCATGCGGATATTTCTTTAATTTAAATGAAAGGATATTAGAGGGCGTCAACAAATTTATTGACTTTCGACCTTGAAAAGGGAGGCGCGCGAATAATACATCGGCAGCCAGACCTTTCAATTAATTGTTTCGGAGAATCTGGCGATTACTAATATTTTAGAAGGCAACTTCACGAATCATGCAGCAAACCAAAAGTACCGAGATGATGGTGTCCGACGAAAAGAACATTACTTTCGGACGTCAAGGACCCTCGAGAGAGAGAATCATCACAATTATGATATTGGTTGTGGCGACGATTATTTTCATCGTTGGAATCGCTTTGATTGCAATTGCAGCGAACGAAAAGGGAAAAGATGAGGGAACACCTGTTACGAAGGCCGCTTTACACAAAGTAGCGAAATGTGATTATTCAGAGGAAGCGAAGCGAGTGGGACTTGGTGAATTCCTCGATAAAGTCAAGTCAACATATTATAGACTCCATCCCTATGAAGTTTACGATGATCCCGATGTCAGCTCCGACAGGATCAAAAAGGAATTCGTCGCTTATGATCCGACGCCCTCTGTGATGAAAACCCGAACGGATACTTCCTTGGCTTTGCTAAAGGAAATCAAAGATAAAACTATCAACACACCTGCTTTGAAACCACGAGAAAGAAAAGTTTTGGCCCAAGTCAAGCACTATCTTCAGCATGTTTTCGGTAAGCCCTTTGATGCCAATTACTACGCAGGAGATTGGATGATGGGACCCAACAAACGCTGCTGGCAGGAAATTTGCTACATCGGAAACACAGTCAACAACGGACTGGGGCTTCATTTCAAACCTAGGAGTGTACCAGATATTGAGCTAATAGAGGAGAAACTAAAGACTTACAACGCTAGCATTTTGCAGTACATCGAAAACATGAAGGTGGGAATACGTAGAGGAATGGTTCGAAGTAAAGAAGCATGCGAGGTTGGATTCAAAGCTTTGAGAGCCAAATACATGAAAGTTTACCTAAACAATGAAACAGGTAAGCTATACTCTTTCTGATTTCCGGCTGTATGGCTCTGTCTCGCTTTCCAAAGCGTTATGTGTTAATCATTCACTCTATGAAACTTTACCTTTTTCTAAAACTTTGATCAAATTATGTATCAACAGGAATATTGCAAAGAAGGACCTCTTCGCATCTTATTTTTAAAGCCGATTTACTTCAGAATTTTTAACGATTTTTGAGATAATAGTCAACACTGGCCTATTGCAGGAATGCCCATAGTACAGATAAACGCATACTTCGATCCTTAGACCCAACAAAACACCAAAGAAGCTTAACCCCTAAGAAGATATTTTCGATGAATTACCGGCTATTTCTACTCCTTTACATGTGTGTGGCAGTATTTTATTGAATCCGAAAAATAAAAGAATTGAATGGCTATTCGGAAGATGAAAGCGCCAAAAATGATGCTTAGAGGTTAGGGTTTCCGATTCCAGTTCTCCTATTGCAAGTGAATACTTCACATTCTTTGGCTCCTTAATAGCGCTTTATACTAATGACGTCATGAAGTTTTAGACCCCCTGCGTGACTCAGACAAACAAACTCCACTTCTTTGAGAGCCACAAGGGAAATGGCGAGTAGTTCGCTTATGCCGTCGCTAATTCCGGGGGGTGAAAACTCTAACAAACGCTGTTTGAGTAATACTAGGTCTTAACTTAAGTCGTCCCGGAAATTTGGATCATCCTCCCGAATTTTTGCGATACTTTCCCGGAAGTTTTTAGAATTCCCGGCATATATTCTAAGATTAGCCGTTTATTACTACTTGTGTAACCTTAAATATTACACGTTTTGCATGTTTAGCACTATTTTAACCATGAATAGCGTCTTTACAGTGAAACATTTCGATTTCAATTAACAAAGAAACAAAACATCTTTAAAATGGCCGTATTTTCATTGCATAGCATGCATCGTTCATTTCCTGTAATGAGGTATTAGTTGTGCTAACGTGTACGAGTAAAAGAAGCCTGAAGTGTTCCGTTGACTACGTTGAGTAAAGAGAAGCCCTCTGCCGTATTGTGTATGCCACTACAACAGCGAGATCGACATTCTCTCTTGGGATCCACATTCCGGCACTGTCAGACTCTTGTGTGCCCTTCAACTTCGGCTTGGTACTCCACGCCGTCTTTGGTTACTCGATGACCAACCACCATTACACTTTTCTCACTGGCTTCGGATTATTGCTCACTAGACACACCTGCTTCTTTGCCTTTCGCCCTTTGAGCTCTTTTGCCTCCAATTTGTTATGTCACAGAATCCAACCACTGCAACAAAGGAGCATTTTCTTGATCGTGCAATGTCCCAGTGGCTTTTGGCTCTCAACAGTACAAAGGAATAGCGCCTGGCCTCTGCTTGTAGATTTGTCTCACTCCACTAACTTTAATACCCTTTCCGTACACACGGCAAAAGTCACGCCTATAGATAGATAAATAAGTAAATAAATAAATAAATATATAAACTCACAAACAAAAATAAATGAGTAAATAACAATGCGAGCGGCGATTGTCCACTTAAGGGTGTTCATACGTCTTTAATTCAGTTTTCCTTTAGAGCAATCATTGCAATTATCCCTTTGAGTTTAAGAGTCATTGAGCGTTTTCTTATCATTGCTTTGGTTTATGTCAAAACTTTCATTTATGGTATCATTTTTATCCCCGGGGTATTTCATATCCAAAGTTTGTTAATCCGTTGTTAATTTGTTCACTAAGGGGCCGACCATTTAACTTTTGAGGGGGGGAGGGGGTGGGTGATTTCTGGTCATCAAGATATTTTTTTTCTAGCAGTCTGCTGTGCAGGATATTTTTTTCCGATTTTTTGGTACATTTTTCTGTGACATTTGGGCTGCAAGCAATTTTTTTCTTCCAACAAGCGCTTGCAGGAATTTTTTTTTCAAAATCACCCACCCCCTCTCAAAAGTTAAATGGTAGGCCCCAAATAGGCCTTGTGGAAATTTTCGGCGCCATCTTGACGGGCGGGCAAAGCGGTCAGAATTTACAGTTTTTGTATGGAAATCCGATGTCAAATAACTTTTTCCAAAATTAAATTTTACGTAATTTATGAATCGCAACGTTAAAATACTAAGTAGAAGATTGTATTCACCAAGTTTGAACAATGTAGGTTGGATAGAAGACGCTCAGTTAATTTTTCTAATTTTTCATACATTTTGTATGTAATTTTTTTCTGCGCCGCCCCTTCTACCCTGCAAAAACCGTGATAAGGCCTATTCTCAGCAACGTTTTGCAGCATAATTGTTTTTTGTGAGAAGATTTTTTGAGAATTTCATAAGAACTGACGCTGAACTAAATTATAAAATGCGAACTCTTACCAAGAGCCTTTACTCCTATGTATTTGAGGTCCGTTTTTACTGGTTCCATCTTTTAGCGACGAAAGCAGTGTGCTCCCACGCACATTATTTTCCCTGAAACATCCACAATGTTCCTCTAACATGTTTTGCGTTAGCCAGGCGCATATATCCTCGACTTCCCATTTCTCAAATGACTTCCCACCTGATATAAAAAGCGAAAACAGTACTTTTCCTAAGTATTACAACAGTAATACACGTAAAGTTGGAAAGCATTCGGATAACATTAGGATATTTACTTCAAATTGTTTTACTTACATTTTATTGGTCGTGCCATGGTCGCTATAGCCTAAGCTTGCACTTTTCGGCTATAGAATCCAAACTTGTTTCTTAAATGGACTTCACTTATGCTCACAAAGCGAGGAATCAATTAAAATCCGTCGCTAACCATACACGGAACCTTGTTTGATGCGTTTATACCTGAAACGGATCTGGACGTGACTGCTGTGAAGGTTGCACGTGGTTGAATCGAGTGTGGAACCCAACTGTGTGCCCACCCAGTAGGGTATGGGTATTCATCCCCGCCAAAATTCAAACTTGTTGTTCAAACATTCAATTCGTCACTTCAAACATTCAACTCG